CAAGTGTTTTGTCAATATAGAAAAACAAGTGTAGCTAAACCTTAACATTCAGGAAAATATAATATATAATAATGTATATATCGCACTAAACATCGCAAGTACAACGAATACTTCCTCCGTTGTGATAGGTAAAGTATGAAAACTTTCGGCCGAGCTGGGAGTTGAAACCTGCACTTCCAAAGTGCAAAACAAAGTACTTTACAACTGCACGACCCCTCTCCCGCAGAAAACAAAGGACCCCGTTAGTTACTACGATCAGCATACGAAACCCACATCATTTGTTATGTAGTTGTTGCCATTCGCAACGACGGCTAAAAAATTGAACGGCACAACGGCTCATATTTCATACGAACCAGAGGAGCGGAAACATCGGACAGCGCTGTTTTCAGTCATTCCTGAAGACAACAGTAGAATGGCTTAGAGCGATACTGTTCCTTCTTGACAAGGACCGGAATAAATTTCAAAAGCGCCAAATTTAACCTACATTTCATGATAAAACTAGTTCGCATGTAAAGGCAATAAAATGCGACAGGTTAGCAAACCTAACTTAACAAACATAACATAACCACAATCGAAACAGAATGGTTGCTCGTTTGCTAGAACATGGAACTCAGAAAAGAGAGATCTCGGGTCCAAACTCTGGTCAGATCACTCGCCTTTCTTCCTTCTGAAATTTATGAGTAACATGATGTGGGGAGAAAACAGGAAGCTACATACTGTGCTTGTCACATTGCTCTATCGACTCGGCAATGAGAAATAAGGCACCTCTACCTCAGAAAATCTCCCCTCTCTCATGGAAATAGATATCAACGGGAGACAGCAGCGCGGTTGATCAGCTATCTGATATGAAACGCTAGAGTAAAGGTTCAAACTCAGTGCGCAGTGTGAATATTCTTTTATTAGCTACAAATTCCATTGAGCAAGGATTTCAGATCATTGTGCTTCAGTCGAATCAGTTGAAAATATGGTAGCAGGTCGTCAACCCGTGAATAATAGAGACAGCTTGGTGCTTTGGAGTGGCGATGCAAAAGCATGAAACATACGGCATGCTGGCTAATAAATGCCGCTCCATTCGCTTCAAGGACGCCAAAAAATACTCAAACGTGGAAGTGTAAGG